GTCTGGATCCAAATGTCACCAAGCTCTCTCTCTCTCTCTCTCTCTCTCTCTCTCTCTCTCTCTCTCTCTCTCTCTCTCGTAGTCTGCTGATGCAGGGAAGTCAGATAGCGAGAGGGTGAGAAGGAGATGGTGGACTGAGAAGAGGAAGAAGAAGAACTGTCTCTCTCATGTGCCAGGTACTAACCTGTGAAGATGGCGCTGTGCTGCAGGTACCTCGAAGACGACACTGGAGCAATGGCGCTGCAGGTAAGTCTCCCTGGCCTCCGCCCAATCTCTCTCTCCCTCCTATGGCGCCCAGCGCTGAAGACTACTGCTAACGCTACTAGCGCCCAGCGCTGAAGACTACTGCTAACGCTGCCACTACTACTGCAGCGCTCCTCCAGAGTGCTGCTGCCGAATCCTGAAGACTACCTCCTGCCTCCTGAACTGCACGTGAAGTGCCTGGGAAGTACCTAGGGACTCCCTGCCTGCCTGAAGGGCAGGCCAGTCCTATACAGTGCCGGCCCGTCCAGGAGGCTGCTCTTGCCAATGCCCAAACGTGCCAGACCCTGGCATTGAAGCTCGACCAGGGGTTGTCTTGAAAACAGGCCCGAAATGGCCTGTGCTAAAACCCTGGTTCGTTGCCTGAGTTTCAGGGCAGGTCGAAGTGATGAGGGCCCGGAAATGGCCCTCAGTTTCAGGCTGAAAACACTCAGGGCCGGAAAGGCCCTGATTTAGCCTGAAACGACACAGGGCCTGTAGGCCCTTGTTTTCAGGCTTTCAGGCTGAAACGACACAGGGCCTGTAGGCCCTTGTTTTCAGGCTTTTGGCCTGAAAATGTCACGGGCCTGGAAATGGCCCGTGCAGCCTGTTGCAGGCGCAGCATGTAACACACACACACACACACACACACACACACACACACACACAGAGAGAGAGAGAGAGAGAGAGAGAGAGAGAGAGAGAGAGAGATTGTCAATCATCATCCTAAAAAATATACTTCATGTGCTTCCACACTGTGTCTTTGAAAATCGGACAGATAAGGTGGTTAGCAGCAATTATTTGTCCCTGACCAACACCACTCAAGAGGCAGGCTTCTGCTTCACACCAGAAATGCAAAAGGTGCGCAACTAATTACCAATGTCTTGTGGGAGAGCCCAATGAAAGGCATTTCACGCTGCAGACCCCAAATTCGGATTTGAGGGTCAAAAAGCCCAATGAAAGGCCAAAAGAGGCCAAGTAGGCCAGACTCGGAACAGTCAAGTCGGGTACCCCAGGGGTCTAGTCCAACCGATACCCCGTCAAAAGTCACGTCCCACAGTCCAAAAAGCAGCAGCACACCAAGGAAAACTCTGGAAGGTACCAGCGGCCCTCAACACTCTAAAAGTAAACAGGCCGCCGGCAGCTGGTACCGGATCCAAGTCAAGCCCAGAGAAGCAGAGGCTGGGACGAGCCAAGCCCAGTCAAAGTCAATGTAGGGATTGGCCAGCCACATTTCGGGCAGATGGCTCTTTCATGAGAAGTGTGGAAGTGCTGCCAAGCGCTTGTGCACTATCTGCGAGTTCGCCGGCGCTAGAGCCCTGGCTGGGCAGCGCTGCGCTGCGGAAGGAAAGCGGCCATAGCCGCTCGGTGTAGTAGGAGCAGGGCTTAGTAGTAGGCGGATGTATCCAGAGTCAAGATCTTCATAGCAGAGGGAGGGAGCGGGAGAGAGAGAGAGAGAGAGAGAGAGAGAGAGAGAGAGAGAGAGAGGGAACTCGTGAGAGAGAGAGAGAGGGAGAGAGGGAGACAGAGAGGGAGAGTCACCTACCTGGATGAGGATGCTGGATTTGGGTCACCTACCATGAGAGAGAGAGAGAGAGGGAGGGAGAGAGAGTGAGACAGAGAGGGAGAGAGCAGAATGAAGATGCTGAACTCTGCGCTGATGAGTGCTAGGTGACTGGAACTCTGAAACTGTTTAATTATTTAATATGATAAGGATTCATTGGAATTTCTAAGCTGCACTAATCTGGACTTTCCATCTCTGGTCTCCACTGTGGATTTCGTGTGCACTCTCATTTCACATGTGCATGAGGCGACGAGCTAAGGGTCCACGTGATCCAATGCACCAATCGAGACGCTTCGCTCCATATCTGCAGATAGAGTCTGCAAAACAACCCGTCCAGTAGCATCCTCGAGTATTTCCATCAGTGGAAGGACGACGAAAAAAACAGAGGGAAGGGGCTTTGGGCTGGGGCGGGGGGAGGGGGGAGGGGAATAAAACGTTTCAAATGATGTCACAATGACTCACAAGTATTTCGACCAGAGCAAGGACAACGAAAAAGGGGAAAAAAAAGGGAGAAAAAAAACAAAACAAAACATTTTTTTTTTTTTAACAAGGATACTTTCTCTCCTTCATTACCTGCATAGTGTCATAGATTGCCAGCCCAGCCGTCACAACCCCACCCGGCGAGTTTATGTACATGTAAATCTGCAGGCAGGCATGAAGGCAGAGGGAGCAAGCAGGTATGCAGGCAGGTGTCAGTGCAAATAATAATACCAACGAGAACCCTCTGGCATGCCAGAGTCGTCAGAGATTGGCAGGACCCTCTGGCATGCCAGAGTCGTCAGAGATTGGCAGGCAGGTCAGACGTCGACATAGGAACAAAAAACCCAGCAAATGTGGCTGAAGGGTAGGTAACCGGTGCTACACTGCTACCACATAGTGCACACACGTAACTGTTGATGAACAGATCACGAGTTCAAACCCTGATGGGAATCGGACCGATACAACAACACTCTCTTTAGGCCAGCAGCCTATTCCCCAGCACCAGTACACCACATATCGACCCGCGGGTGTCAGCATGAAACCCGCACCACTTCGGACGCCTCTTTCTTTTTTTTTTCAACGGCGGGCCTGGGCCGCACGGCGCTTCCGAGTTTTGCCTGTGGCGGCAGTGTGGCCACAAAAACTTTCTGCAAGGCTGGGGCCGTGTACTAGCGGTTCAAGAAAAGACGAAAAAGCAAAACGAAATAACAACAAAAATTACAAAATTGCATACCCCAATCATGTAACTGTTGATGAACCGATCACGAATTCAAATCCTGATTGGGATCAGATGGATCCGATGCAACAACACCCTCTCTTTAGGCCAGCCTGTTCCCGTTCATTAAGAAAAGAAGAAGAAGACGGACCCGGTTTCCAGCAGGTGCAGCTCCCCACCAATAGATGGAGCAGCCAGGGACAGCTACTAGAGGTGGCTGCGCTTATCACCCCTTCCAGTAGTGGTTGCTGGTTTTCCTGTAAAAAAAAAAAAAAAAAAAAAAAAAAAA